TATGAAGAGAAAAACTAAATGACTGAAGTTAGAAAAAAAAACCATTTGAAATATGATTAAACCAGATTACTCTAGATTATGTGTTTTGGAGAGAATGAAGGGTTTTCCCCCTCTTTCAAAATCATAGAACTAAGATCTAGTGATCCTCAGTAACAGGGCAATACAGGCTATGCACAAACATCTTCTCACTTCAGATTATTTTGCATTTATGGTTATGGGTTTTAGCTTAAATAGTTAAAATCTTTTGCGACAAATTTACAGTGAAAGACAGATTTATCAGTTAGCATTCAACATAGTGTTGAAATGGAACCATTATGTTTGGGAGATATCTCATTATCTGATGCTGGGGGAGAAGAAGAAGCAATTCTGCTTGTGAATTTTCTAGAAGCATCTAGATAATGACTTTGGGAAACAATATACTTGTTTAGATGCATCATTAGATTAATCAAGTGGGATTCTTGATATGTATCTTAGCATAGAAAAATGAAAGACATATTAGGGATTGTTAACCTCTAGACATCTTCTTTTCCAGAACTGAGCTCCACTGTGTTTATAGGTCTTGTTCAAAGAAAAACATGCATAAGACTGAAGTCTAAAAGTTTCAAATGCTGATGTGCTGTTATTTTCACAACTATGTAATAGTCTCTTGAAATTTAGACAAAATGAATCACTATGGCTACCTAGGAAAGTTAATTAGTTTAGGGAAAAAAAGCTTATAGATTTTAATGCCATCTGCAGGATAAACAAGATCAGGATGTGAATAGCACAAGGAAGAGAAACTCTGAAGTTGAGAAATTTGTCACTTAAAGAAGACTTCAATGTTATTCTATTTTCGATAGTTCCGTTAACTCCTGAGATAAAAGAAACTTTGCACTTAGCTAAAAGTATTAGATTCCTAACTTTTGTGCTTGGTTTTAGAAAAGGCTTTGAAACTGAACAATTTGAAAAATGTAAAAGGAAAAAGGAGGTTTTGGCATTGCCTCCTACATGAAGTCTTTCGTATAATTTCTTTTAAGTTGTGAATGCTGATTTACCAGTACAAATTAAGTTTTTTCTAAGAAGAGTGTGTATATATCACTAGAATAAGTTTCCTCAGTGCCCTCCACACACCCATTCCCCCCCCCCAACCCCAAAGTTTTGGCTATTTCTAATTCTTTAGATCTCTCTCTCTCTCTCTTTATCATAAGCTTGTGAAATTTGTTAGGTTCTTCAAGAGTGATAGGATAAAAGCCATTCTATAGGGGGGGTTGAGGATTTAAATCACTATCTCTCAGTCCTGATGTTTCATTCCATATTCTTCTAAATATCTGACTTTTTCTGGCATTATCAGCTAGTTGCATGTTGGCAATGACTTGAGAAAATAGTGTAAGATATTAACTGAAGTCCCATTTTAATCTGGTAAAGTAGAAACCTATGCACAGAAGTACAAACCTATACAGCTTGCTTCTCAGTGATTATTCTTACATTTGTTGTCTATTATATTGCAATCCTTGGAGCTTACGTTTGAGTAGATGTAGGTATTACTGCTGTATAAATTCACTTATTATTAGAGATTACTGAAGACATTTGGAGTCGCTTTTGTTAAAAATTACAGGATTTTGCACTGCCAGATTCTTGGTGCCCTGCAATCATAAGATGTGTCTTAAACAGCTATTCTACTAAGCCAGCAGAAAGCAATTGGAGATAGGTCTTGTGCACAATTCATTCTGGAGACACTGTGATGATTAACACTGTGAGAGTATGCAGATATAAATCATAGCAAGAGACAACATTTTCTGTGTATGTGCAAAAGAAAGGAAAAGATGGGCAAGATAATGTAGGAATCCACTGTTGGATCTCTGAGTGATTAAAGTAGGGATGAATATGGTATAATTGCATCTCCCATCATCTCTCACTAGTGGATATATATGGTTGAGTTGCTAGAAATATTCAGAAAAAATGAGCATTTGTTTTCTACTCATTACTGGACCAAGTGGACTCTGGTTAATTCTGAAAAGAACCCACATTATTAAGTAAAATGTGCTTAATTATAAGGCAACCGTAATGCAATCAGTTAATAAAATTAGTATGGCTTAATGGTGAAAAATCCTGAATAGTTATTGTGAAATTATGTAAATTGGTAAACCAGGTAAAGGTAGTTTTGTTGTTGTTGATGATGATGATTCTAAATAGACTCTTTGGAATTATGGTCAATCTATTTCTTCCTTGCTATAATGCAGCCTAGTATCATTCAAAAATATTAGGCTACAGTACTGTGACTCCCATGACTCCAGTAGCCCAACCACTGGCTGAGAATTATAGCATAGATATATTTCCTCTTGTAGATATAATACTGTACATGTAGGTGTCCATTAGATGGCACTGCTCCCATTTTTGTTTTGTTTTTTTATTTTAAAAAAAATTGTTAGGATTTTACAATTCTTTAGATTGACAGAGTGCTCAGGAGCATGTGACACTTGTCTGCAACACTCTTAAAGCATCTGCTGGTTTATCTTTCCCTGAAAGCCCAGGCATCTTTTGGAAACTAAATCCAATGTACATTACAGTCCTATAAATTGCACTTCCAACTGTCTTCTCTAGGGAGAATTGAAGAAGAAACAGTACATGAATTAATTTTCTTACTAACAGGCCCCAATATGTGCGAGCTGGAACAAAAATTTCTAACACCATTTTCTTGAGCACAGGTTCTCCTCAGGGCTGCATCCTAAGTCCGCTGCTGTTCACCCTGTTGACCCAGGACTGTAGTGCTAGGTTTGCCACCAACTATATTGTGAAGTTCGCAGATGATACAGCAGTAGTGGGCCTTATTCATGACGACAATGAGGGTGCTTGCCGCAAGGAGGTTGAGGGTTTGGTGAACTGGTGTAAGGAAAACAGCCTAGTTTTAAATACTGGAAAAACCAAAGAGATCATTGTCGATTTCAGAAAAGGCAGGCACAGCCACACTTCTCTGTGCATTAATGATTCACCTGTGGAGATGGTTACCAGCATCAAGTTCCTGGGTGTGCAGCTAACGAGTAGGCTGGCTTGGTCGCTCAACAGCGAGACACTGGTGAAGCGGGCACAGCAGCGCCTGCATTTTCTGCGTCGCATGAGAAAAGCACATCTTCCTTCTCCTATCCTTACCACTTTCTACAGAGGGACGATCGAGAGCATCCTGTCATACAGCATCACAGTCTGGTTTAGAAGCATCACTGCTTCAGACAGGAAGGCAGTGCAGAGAGTGGTGAGGATGGCCGAAAAGATCATTGGCAGTTCCCTCCCTTCCATCCAGGACATAGCACATAAGCATTCCTTGAGCAGGGTCTGCAAGATTGTCTGCGACACTACACATCCTCTTCACGACCTGTTTTCCTTGTTACCTTCTGGGAGGAGGCTCTGTGGTATCCGAAGCCGAACATCCAGATTCAGGCATAGCTTTGTTCCATACAGTATTAACCTTGTGAACTCTAAAGCTTCCTCCTTCCGTTATGTATTCAAGATGGTCAGTGAATAATATTTATATGTTACTTATAAGTACGGGTGTAGGTCTATATATGTGTTGTATGTAGTATATTTTAAATGTGTGTTATGTATGTGTACACTTTGAGAGGAAGCAACTAAATTTCATTTTTAATGTGTGCCATTGTGCCCACAGGAAAAAATGAGAATAAAGGTTATCTAATCTAATCTAATTTGTCTGATATTTGGAAACAATATTGTCAGTACTCTTAACACAGTTAAGAAAAAAAGATGTGATTGAATTAAATTAGGAATAAAATTAAAACAAATTAAGGGAAGGATGAATCATGATTAAAGGGGAAAAAATTGAAGAAGGAAAGAAAGAGTCAGAAATAAAAACCTGCAGAATAGCAATAGCACTTAGACTTATATACCACTTGGCAGTGCTTTACAGCCCTTTCTAAGCGGCTTATAGAAGGAAATATTCCAGGGCAGGGTGGTAATCTGTAGGTAATTTTGCTCCACATACAAATCTCTTTTGAAAAAAGTACACTGCTTCTAAGTAAATATACACTGGATTCTGTTTAAAAATCAAAATTTAGGGGGAGAAACTAATTTAAAGAGTAAAAATAGCATGTATTTTTATGTATTTGATTTTTATCCCAGCTTTATTACTTTATAAGTAACTCAGGCTGGTAAAAAATACATAACTTTCCTTCCTCCTTTTTTTTCCTGATGACAATAATAACCCTGTGGGCTGGGCTGGGGTGGGCTGAGGGAGTGACTGGCCCAAAGTCACCCAGTTGGCTTTCATTTTTAAGGGAGGGAATTAGATCTCACATTCTCCGGGTTTCCAGGCCAGCTCCTTAACCACTAGACCAAACTAGCCTAGATCAAAATTGGCATGCTCTCGTCTAGATTTTAAAATAACAATGCAGTTGTAATATTAGAATTATGAATAAAAAACTAATGCAGGCAGGAAATAGCAATTTCTGGAATACAGTTTTAGATAGTGTAGAAAAGATGATTGCAATAACTTCTTTCATTTTGATCTACTAAGTTTATTTTTTAAGTTAGTAGCAGTTGCCAAGTAATTGCTAAAAAAAAATCTTAGAGGGATTAATAATAATTAATGTCTTATGAGGGATGGTATTTGAATCTTTGAATCCTACGGAAGAGGAAGATTTTCTTTGCGATCAGATTGGTTTTTCACCCTTTGAAAATAGGCATTATCAGTAGTCTAGGTTTCATATTTTCAGTCTTTGCCGCCATCCTTTTGTGGGATAGGGACAGAATAAAGGCATTGCCTGGCTGAGGAATTCTGGGAGTTGAAGTCCACAAGTCCTAAAAGGGCCAAGTTTGAAAACCCCTGACATAAGGAGTATGCCTATAATGTTATAACAAGCATGTGTCAGATTGGGATGTATTGGAGGGTCAATATTGTTTGATGTTTGGAGAGTTTGTGGTTGGTTTAGCTGTCTTAAATCGTTTCTGTGGCAGCCATCCATCCATCCCTCCATCTTGATCTTTGCAGGCAGTGCATCTGAATATTTGGAACCATGGGAGTAACTAGCCTGTGGCAGATCCTGGAACCTATCAAGCAACATGTCCCTCTCTGCAGTCTTAAAGGAAAAACATTAGCTGTTGATTTAAGTCTCTGGGTGTGTGAAGCACAGACAGTTAAGAAGATGGTGGGAATAGTCACAAACCCGCATCTTAGGTAGGTACAATGCTTGTGATAACAAGGTACTGATATATAAGATATATTACTTCTCTTGGGTGCTTTACAAAATATAAGATATAAGGCATGGTATAATTTCAATCTGGGGAATAATGAATTAATTTCACTGTAAGAGGCCCCGAAGAAGATGACTGAGTGCTCATAGAAAGAATTCTGCATATGCTAATGCTCATTTTGCATGGACTTGGGCATTCTCTGCAAATGCTGTTAGGATTTACAATGTGGATTAAATAAGAGCCATGAACTATCTCATACCATCTTTGAGAATTTGTGAGGCACATGTCATTGATATCTTTATCTTTTAAATTGTTTTCTAATTAAAAGAATGATTTTGAGGGAGATACAGTGGGAGCCAAGAATACACAGAGTTTCCTTATATTGATAGTTTTGGAGAAAATGTCAATATTTTAGGCATGGGAATAAATCAACTGATTATTGAGATGTAAGATGAGGGGTATAATGTATACTATTTAACTTCACTCTCTTGCCGCAGGAATCTTTATTATCGCGTCTCTTCTTTAACACTGATGGGGGTCCATCTGGTGTTTGTCACGGAGGGAGATCTCCCAAAACTGAAAACCAGCACAGTGAAGAAGAGAATAGAAGCTCGCTTTGGCCCATCGAAAAAGCCTGGGATTGCAAAAAAAGGGAGATCCCGTTTCAAATCTATTTTGAAAGAGGCAAGCTATCACAGTGGGTTATGTTTACAGGATGCTGAATACGGCCAGTTATCGGGTTCATACAGTAGAAGGCATCAATATTTAATATGTTTTATTGAACCAATGCCAATTTTTAAAGACTTTGTGTTGCTTGAGAGCAATCCGGTGGGATTAATTGGACACATGCTGCTCTCCTGCCTGCTTCATCAAGGCTGGTGGCTTATGTTTCAGTAGGTTTCGAAACCTGAAGTTCTCTGCTGGTCAAGGATTTTCTTTGGCTGCAGGGATTGCCTATTTTATATTACGGTAGTATGTAAGAAGAATGTTCAAAGGATTACCTCAGCGGGTTTTACCTCAATGGGTTTTACCTCAGCTGGCTTTACCTTAGCGCAGTGGTTCTCAACCTGTGGGTCGTGACCCCTTTGGGGGTCGAACGACCCTTTCACAGGGGTCGCCTAAGACCATCTGAAAACACATATTTCCGATGGTCTTAGGAACCAAGACACCGGTCCTCTATCTCCTTTCCCTCCTCTTCCTCCTCCCCTTCTTCCTCCTGCTGCCCCCCAGGCGGCTCGGACGGGCGCCGGGACAAGCTGGATGGGGGGTTGGGGGTCACCACAACATGAGGAACTGTATTAAAGGGTCGCGGCATTAGGAAGGTTGAGAACCACTGCCTTAGCGGGTTTTACCTCAGCGGGTTTTAGGGGAATATATCTTCACATTTTAGATTTATTTATCAAAGTTATACACCACCTTCTTACTGCATAAGTGACTCTATACCTTATAAGTGGAGTACAGGTAGTCCTCGACTTACAACAGTTTGCTTAGTGATCAAAGTTCGAAGTTACAACGGAACTGAGAAAAGTGTCTTATGAACATTTTTCACACTTACAACCATTGCAGCATCCCCATGGTCACATGATTTACATTTGAATGCTTGCCAACTGACTCATATTTATGATGGCTGCAGTGTCCCGGGCCTTTTGTGACCTGACAAGCAAAGTCAATGGGGAAGCCAGATTCGCTTAACAACCATCTTACTAATTTAACAATGATTCACTTAACCAATATGGCAAGAAAAGTCGTAAAACAAATTTCTCACTTAGCAACCTAAATGTTGGGCTCATGTGGCCGTAAGCTGAGGACTACCTATATAGCCTGTCCCAATCTTAACGCATTTTGCCATTGAAAGTTATCAAGAAACCGTACCAACGTGGTCTTGGCTACCTCAAACATTATTAGAAAGGGAGCAGAAAAGCAGCCATGAATTGTTCATCCCAATGGTATTTCTCATTGCTTCTTCCAATGGGATTTTTCCCTTTTCAGTGCCTTGAGCTGCTGGAGTGCTTGGGAATGCCATGGATTCAAGCAGCTGGAGAAGCAGAGGCCATGTGTGCCTATCTGAATGCAAATGGCTATGTGGATGGGTGCATCACCAATGATGGAGACATCTTCCTTTATGGCGCTCAAACAGTTTATCGAAATTTTACCATGAACGTCAAGGTAATTTACTAGGCATTTTTTGATCCGTGCTACTTTTTTGGGGGGAAGTGTATTTTTTATTAAATTATTTTTTAAAGAATAAGCAATACACATTTTGAAAGAGAAGAGCAAGGAAAGGAAAGTGATAAGTAAGTGGGGCGAAAGTACAAAGCAGAATAGAGACAAGAAGGAAGGAAAAGGGGGAAAAAGGAAAGGAAAGGAAAACAAAAAGTTATAAAGAAGTGGCTTCCATTCGTCTTAATAGCTGTTACAAGTACATTTATATTTTATTCACTCTAAAATTACAGCAAAATTTCTTTCTTTCCATAGTCTACACATTCTAATCAAACCCATGAATCACACAATATCATTTTTTTTCTTTTTACAGCAAAACGTCCTATAAGGGTTTTCCAGTCATTAATAAATATAGTTATTATCCTTTCTGTAATCTAACAAGTCAGTTTTGCTACACCTGAGTCTCTGATAGCCTTTGTCTTACTCAGAAAAATATTTTGACCTCACTCCCCATGCCACTGCTCTTTACTCTTTGTAACTATAATATTAAATACTCTTGGATATATGTTTTCAGATCAGTGGGACTGAATTTTGAATAGACATATTTGTGATTACTTTGTGTGCCTTTTCTCAGAAGGATTGTGAAACACTGAGCTTGTTCATCCTAGATTGCTTGAATGGATCCTGAGAAAATTTTCGATATTGAGCTCCTCTTTAAAGGCACCATAATGTCTGCAAATCATAGTTTGTCAAGATGCAGTTTTCCTTAGAACATGTATTTTCAAACTTATTCAGTAATGGTTGCGGTATCGCTAGTAAACATATGAAAAATGATGAAACATTTAAGGGGGAGCATCACCATCCTACTCTATTCTGTACAGGACCCACATGTTGACTGCTACTTGATATCTGATATTGAAGAGAAACTAGGCTGCAGCAGAGAATCTCTGATCGGATTAGCAATTCTGCTTGGCTGTGATTATCTTCCTAAGGTAACTGAACAATCACACAAACAATCACATTAATGTTTATATTGCTAATTTAGGTAGGTGGGTAGGTAGGTAGGTGGATGGAATAGATAGATAGATGGATGGATGGATGGATGGATGGATGGATGGATGGATGGATGGATGGATAGATAGATAGATTAGATAGATAATAGATAGATAGATAGATAGATAGATAGATAGATAGATAGATAGATAGATAGATAGATAGATAGATAGATAGATAGATAGATAGATAGATAGATAGATAGATAGATAGATAGATAGATAAGCAGGCAGGCAGGCAGGCAGGCAGGCAGACAATAAAACCTGTTACTAGTGTAATTGTTTATTTAAAATATTTAGATAACTACCTATCCTATATCATACTCTGGGCAGCTCCCAACCAACAAGTAAAACAACCAATAAAACAACATAGCCCATACATCTCTTAAAACCATAAATATAAACCAAAAATCATGAAGGAGAAGAGGTTCTAGAATCGTTTTACTCTACTACATTAAATGTTTTCTTATGCGGGTTTCCTGTACAATAGATTTATTTTTCTAGCCACCATGGTTTTTTTTCATGCCAAGGACACTTGCTTGAAAGTGATTCCATGCTTTCAGAAGGGAGAATGACTGGATCTGAAACCTTCTGTTAACCACAAATCAAGAATCTCGGTTTCTTTGTGGAAGAAATTAGGTTTTGGCAAAGCTTCCTGCTAGATTCTGTCTGGGTTTTCTTCCATGTGAAGGGATGTTTAACCCTAATCCTTCTGTCTTTTTTTTCCAGATGAAAGGATGAGTTGATAAAAGCAGCCTTCCCAGTATGTGTTTTTGTTAAGTTGACACATCTGCTTCAATTACATTTTTTTTAGCGCTTAGCTGCCGGATGTTCATTTCACAATATCTTTGTCCTTCCTTTACCCTAGGCCAATTTGGTTTAGGTTTCTTAGCAATCCCAGAAGAGCGCCCCAGTTTAAAACTGTTTCAGCAACACAATCAACTGGTTACATAAGAATATTTCTTGCTATAATCATTCTTTGCACATTCTTTTTTAAAAGGCATCTTACCTTGACCCTGTCACAGTGTAACTGATGGCACTGGGGTTGTGGCAATATATCATTCTTATATCAGTGTGCTTTTGTGGGACAGTATTTGCTTTCCCCTTGAATGTCTGTGTTATTTTTTGCATGTTTGCCCTTTCTTCTTTTAAGTTTCTCTAGAGCTAGGACTCACTGTCTTTCAAACTGACCTGCTTTACAGAGTTTTTTTGTGAATATAAAATGAAAGGTAAACCATCTAAGCCAGAGGTGAGCCCTTACAAGATTGTTGGGCTGCAACTTCCATTATACCACAGCATTAGTCATGCTGACTATAAAATATTATTTCAGCAGTATGTAAAGGAGAGCCATTTGTCACATGCTTTTGATGTGAGCCACCTTAAAGTACCTTAAAGAAATAGGGTAGCACATATTTCCAAAAACAATCTCCTATGGTACTGATAGCTTGCAGTCAAACTCAGCTGCAATTATATTCTTTGGTGTGAAGCAATATAATTTTTTTAGTTAGTCCATGTTTTATTTATTTGGTGGTAGGGTTTTCTTGTTTGTTGTTGCATTTGCTTGCTATTGAATCTTCTAAGGACATCCAGTGGGTTATAACTGACTTGTGCACACTCTGCAGATACTGGTTTGTTCCCTGGATTTAGTGAGAAATATAACCAGTGACCTCTTGGGTCATTATTTCAGAGATATTTCCTCATCTTAACAGAGAAACAGAATGGTGGGCAAAAAATCAGTGGAGGCAGGAGCACTGCCCAACTTCTGTCTGTTTTCTGATTGAGTTTCCTTGTGGGAAGTTGGCCATGAGCATCGGAAATCTTCCTTCCTTCCTTCCTTCCTTCCTTCATTCCCCTCCCCCTGCCCCTCTCCAGCAGGCACATAAGTGGCTTCAGCCAGATGTGGAAGGAAATGCAAAGGGATTAGCATAGGGTCCACCATTTCTTCATTGACTTTATCCATACAAGCTTCCCAGCAAACTCCCTGTGTCCTCCCCTCCCTTCTCACACAAAGTACTCATGGAGAATTTTTCCTCAGGCATTGCTTATCCCTCTGTCTTCCCAATCATACTATAGTTGCTTTTTTCCCTCTACTCCTGCTTAAAATCACAGATGGTCCTCGCATTTAAGGGCAAAGAAATGCTTTAGATTCTTTGCATATCACTCTGATTACAGTTGGGGGATATAGCAGACCACCATTTTCCTCTGAATTTAGCACTTTTACTTTCAGATGCGTATAAATGCTCTTCACATTGTTTATATAACCTGACCATTCTAGTCCCAGACTCACTTCTGCTTGTCTGGTCTGCTGAAGTGGTTTGTCTCTGCTCTTATGTCATTTTGACTCCTGCATTTCAAATTTTCAGGAAAAGGCATACTTACTAATTTTCACAGTCCATGTATCTGTAAACCAACTTTTTTAAAAAAACCAGTTATCCTGTTAAAAGCTGACCATTTTCTCAGCACGATACAGCTAAGGATAATGTAGCATAAATAATTGGCAATTCATTTCTTTATTTGACTTATGTGGCCACCCATTCATGAAGTGATATTTTACTTTGAATACTATAGAAAGTATTCACCAAAACCACCATATGTCTTAATAATGTTTGCCCAATTATTTATTTCATAGCTTGATTGAAACCCATGGCAGTTTTGAAACTATAGTGTATATTTTATACATTTATCTAAACTCTGTCAAAATGCTTGTTCTCTTGGTTCTCAAAGGGAGTTCCTGGAGTAGGAAAAGAACAGGTTTTAAAGTTGATCAAAACTTTAAAAGGACAGAGTTTACTGCAAAGGTATGTTTTATGTTATTTTTAAATTGTGTCTCCTATTTTCCCCTTTACGTTTTCTTCCAAGAAGCAAATCCTTTGCATGATTCAGATTTATAATGTGTGCATGTATGTACATCATGTGTATAGACAGCATTATTTTTCAGCGCTATATATTCATCACCATTTCAATACTGTTTTAGATTTGAGTCCTGGAAAGACCATTTGCAATCTGGTGATGTCCCAGTATCAACAGCTAAAAAACCACTTCACTGTTCTGTGTGCCATCATCTAGGTGAGTCAGTTCCTAGCTTCAGAAAAAAGATTCTGTGTATTGAAGTCTCCTTTTGAATTGGGCACCCTGGTATATAAAGACTGATAGTTTATCATTATAATGAGCTGTGATCACTATATCCTGTCTTCTGAAAAGAAAAATTACAGGCCGTGGTCAAAGGAGATCCGTGTGGTAGAATTGATTTGGACTTTATATACTGTCAGATGCTACAGCAAACTATTGGGCTCCTGCATAATCAACAATAAGCTATAGTTTCATGCCTACTGTACATACAGTAGAATTATGAATTAATAAGACTTGTAATGCTAAAATGGCATGAAACTACAAAAATAAACATCTAGTTTGGATAAGTGAATTCTCTTCTCTCATTTAGAGCAAGCACAAATCAGTTTCAGGTAAAAGAATAAACTATTTCCCTCAGACTAGAAAAAGAAATAATAAATTATCTAGATGCTGCATGCAGGGACTTCAAATAGTACAAAACTGTAGATTAAATTATGTTACAAAAAAGTTTCCTGAGTCTTTAATTGATAATATTCAGATACTTCTGCAGAAAAACTAAATTTTCTCTTTTAATTATCTGAATTATTACTTGGATTTTCACACTACTCTGAGCCATTATCTTCTTAATCATAATTTGTTGAATCTCATGTATGAAATAACTCATTGCTAACCCATATATTTGAATGAAGCACATGTTTATTTGAATACTTCGATAAGTATGGTAAGACTTTTACTTCAGAAAGCAAAGGAACTCAGAACAACGACCAATACAACCCTTTTATTTTAAATATACTTTTTAATACAATTATTGTATTTAGTCATATAGTCCATATGCACATCAGAAAGATGGCTGTTCATTAGTAACTGTTTCAAAAAGTCTGGGAGAATAAATGCCCTAGCCTAAAGCATGATTTACAGTGGCTGAGTTCAACAGCATCTAAACACAAATCAAGCAAGCCATTATGTGAACCCACTTGAACATTAAACTGAAAGGTTTTGGCTTAATTGATAATATTTTGCTCCCATAAACAGTGTAGTATAGTGTAATGGTACAGTTATTAGACTAAGAGTAGGTGATCAATGGCTAGGCTACCCTCAGCCAGGGAAGTCACTGAGGGTTTTTGGCCAGTTATTTTCCCTCAATCTCACCTACCTCATAGAAGAGTTATTGGGCGGGGGGGAAGGAGGAGAAAGCACTATGTAGCCCACCCTAAATCAAACTGGATTATAGGCCAAATAAATAAATATGTCTTAATTTCTTTTGCTTGCACAAGGAAAGTTTTACTCCATTTTTTGCCAGTTCTGTCATTATACATAGATCATATAAATTATATATACATTATGCACAAAAATGGGACAGGTTTGTCTCTTTAAGAAAAACGTTTAGCCTGTATTCCTCTTTTCTTTTTCTTGTAGGTTCTTATAAAGATCATGAGGACAGAGGATGTCAGATCTGTGGCAGTGTAGGATACTGTGAGCCCCAGGATGCTGACTACTGCTGCCCCTGTGACTGGCACTCTTCTGAGTCAAAGCAGCAACCAAGCTTAGTGGAGGAAGGTATTAAAAAGTAGGTGTGTTTTCATATAATTTGCTCTGAATTGCTTAAAGAAGACTTCTTTGCCATTCACAGATCTGAGATGTGTGCATTTTATTTACAGAAAAGCCATGGCATGTGAAGGTTTTCCCTTTCCTGAGGTAATTTTACAAGTCATGTATGCACTTATCCTATAGCTATCTCCCTCAAGTATCTTATTGTATAAATGAGACAGATAATGAATGCCTTATTTTTCCTTTTCTTTGCTAAGGTTATCCAAGAGTATCTCATCAGCAAAGACAAACCAGTGAAATTAAATGAGTGCCAAAGGCCAAATTTATTATCTTTTCAAGTATGTATTAAGACACTATACCTTGTTCTCAATATTGAATACAGTTTAGTCCATTAAGCCCAACCTTCTCTTGGTAAAGGAAACCAAATTAAAACATCCCCAAGAGATGATTGTACAGCCTCTGCTTTAAAACATGCATTGAAGGGCAGCTGATCCCTTTCTTGGAAATTGCTTTCAGTGTAGAATTGCATGCTGTTCTACCGCATAAAGAAGCAGAGATGTAACTGCTATGCTTTGTGCTGATGGAATTAGACTGAGGTATGTCAATATCCTCAGTTTCAGCTAAATAACCAGATACGATATTTGCAGGTCTGGATGCCACCAGTTTTTAGTATACACACACACACACACACACACACACATCCCAACATCAGGAAATCTCGGTTGGGGAAAAGCTATTATCTGCACTGGAGAGCTTCAGGCTGGCTGAAAACTTTGTCTTCTAACCTTCATTCTATTCAGGTTAGGCTAAAAACTGGTGGCATCCAGAGCCCTTATATATACATACATACATGTATATGTGTGTGGGTGTGTGTGTATACATACACACACACATGACTAAAAATGGTGGCATCCAGAGCTCTTATATATACATATATGTATACATACATACACACGCACACACACACATATATATATAGTAAGTTCTACTAGAGCACCCGGTCTACTGTTATGATTGCTTTTGCCTTTCAGCCCCAATCTAGGAGCGTTTTGCAGACTCAAGTCGCTACTGCGATAAACTATAAATTTAGATTTTTGCTGACAAAGAGTTAAAGGGAGACTAGTATAGCTATTTTGAGCTATTTGGCTCTCATTAGCTAGCCATACCCTTCCGAGATTTGAACCTGGGCAGCTTGCATGTTAGGCAGCTGTATTAACATCTAGGCCACAGGTTCTCCTCACTTCTGTCAGCCGAAACCAGGGAGGATACATAGTACATGTCTAATAGAGCACCCGGTCTACTGTTATGATTACTTATAGCTTAATAGCGATACTAGTCTCCCATTAACTCTTTGTCAGCAAAAATCTAAATATGTATGTATGTATGTATGTATGTATGTATGTATGTATGTATAAGGGCTCTGGATGCCACCAGTTTTTAGCCTAACCTGAATAGAATGAAGGTTAGAAGACAAAGTTTTCAGCCAGCCTGAAAGCTGTCCAGTGCAGATAATAGCTTTCCCCCAACTGAGATTTTCTGATGTTGGGCTGCTATCATTCCTACCTTCATTGACTGTTGTGACCAATATAAAGAGCACAAGATTGGAAACAGCACTTCAGTGGATTTTACAGTCTGGTTGTCTTCAGACAGCCCTCTTGTTTTCCCCTGCTTTGTATTCTATGCCTACTTGGCTTAGAAATTTCTTTAAGGTGACTGTTCTGTCCTTATGGCATTTTTTAAAAGTTCGTGACATTTCAAACTAAATGCGTCAACTCTTTGGGGAGAATCAGTGCTGCTGCTGTTCAGTAGATATTTTCATCTGTGTTGTATTTGTAATTTCCCAACATGTTTCAAATAGAGGTTTGCTGTCAAGAAAATGAACTGGACCGAGCAGTATGCCTGTGAGAAATTGTGTAGCCTTCTGACTTACTATGACATGAACAGAAAGAAGTCTGGTTATACTGATCCAAAGCATCTGCAGGCCCTGCGGTAACCCGATTTATAATTTAATTAGATTTCACCCTTTGTTTTGCTTTATATCTGTCCCTGGAAGTGGAAAACATTTTTGTTCTGTGCCTCCTGATTCTGCATTTTTCAGTAACAAACATTGAACATTAGAAGGAATTATGTAGGCCATCAACCTGCTGATCAGGGCAGGAGTCCAAATGAAAGCACTTTGACAGATGTCTGTTTAACTGTGCTTTGAACACAGCCAGTGAGGTAATTAGTTCTATAATTAGTTCTTAAAGCCATCTCTCCCTTTGGTGTTGGTTGTTGCATTAGTCCAGGAATGCCACCTGTGGAGTTAACATGCTGTTGATATAGCTAAGAATCCCCGGTGTGTCTGTTTTTAAGTCTGTTGAAATACATTACATAGATTCAAGAGAAAAAAATATTCCACAATTCAAAACAGCATTTGAAACCACGGAGGATTATAGTACACAGTTCGAAGATTAGAAATTCTACAGTATCAGCATGAGTTTTTGGATTCTGGCCCATTTTCCAAAGACTGCTAAAGAACAGCAAGATAAAGGTTGATGTCCGCAGTGATCCCAACAGCGAGATAGACTGAGCCGGAAAGTACGTCTAGGGGAACCTCAAAGAAGCTCTTCAGATAGCAATAGTAACAGCAATAGCACTTAGACTTACATACCGGTTCACAGTGCTTTACAGCCCTCTCTAAGCGGTTTACAGAGTTAGCACATTAGGCCAACAATCTGGGTCCTCATACGACAAGTCAGGAGGATGGAAACCTGAAGAAGGCAGATTTAGCAATAGCAATAGCACTTAGAAAGGCTGAGCGACAAAGAATTGAGGCCTTTGAACTATGGTGCTGGAGAAGACTCCTGCGAGTCCCTTGGACTGCAAGGCGTTCAAACCGGTCAGTCCTAGAAGAGATCAACCCTGACTGCTCTTTAGAAGGCCAGATCCTGAAGTTGAAACTCAAATACTTTGGCCACCTAATGAGAAGGAAGGGCTCACTGGAGAAGGGCCTGATGCTGGGAAAGATTGAGGGCAATAGAAGAAGGGGACGACAGAGAATGAGGTGGCTGGATGGAGTCACTGTAGCAGTAGGCGTGAACTTAAATGGACTCCAGAAGTTGGTAGAGGACAGGAAGGCCTGGAGGAACGTTGTCCATGGGGTCGCGATGGGTCGGACACGACTTCGCAATTAACAACAACACATAGACTTACATACGGTGCTGTACAGCCCTCTTTAAGCAGCATATTGCCCCCCAAAGTCTGGGTCTTCATACGATGTCAGGAGAATGGAAAGCTGAGTCAGCCTTGAACTACTGGCAGTCGGCAGAGTCAGCCTGTACTACTGCATTCTAACCCCCTGCGCCACCACGGCTCTATCTATGTAAGAAAACATAAAGTGCGACTCATATTTATCCTGCTTGGCCATGTGAACTAACATAGATAATCATCCTGAATGTGTGGGTTGTGGCTATCATCCATTCCCTGTGGAACTCTGATCTGAGGTACTCTTAAGTGACACTTGCAGTGGAAGGACGGGCGAGTTAGTGGTAGTCATGTTTTAAGTTATCAACACTGAATAATGCAAAGATAATAATCGCATTGCTGCCCTGTTTCTAAGGACATCCTACGCAAACCAGGCATAGGGGAACCTTTTCTCTATGATTCTCTCTCATGCTTGGTGACACACCTTGCTACAACCATACAGTCATCATGGTTATGACAGAGGGTTGATCAGGAGACAAAGAGAAATAGTACATGTTTTCCCCGTACAATGTTACAGTACTCCAGCTCGTGGGAATAGCCAGAAAATGTTAAAGAACCTTGGAAACAGCCCTTATCTCCTGGATGGTCAAACATGGTGGCTTCTTAGTTCTTAAATGTCTGACTTCCACTTTTCCACCTTGTCTTTAAAAATACTAGGATTTTCTTAACTTTTGTTTCTACAGGATAATCAAGACACGGATTAGAAATGGAATTCCCTGTTTTGAAATTGCGTGGCAAAAGCCAGGTTAGTACTCCTTACTGGGCATACTGGAAGGGTACTTTCCAGTGCAGTTTAAAACAGGAGTAAGCAATCTCTTAAGAGGTGGGCATGTTGAGAAGTAGAGATATAACACTTCTTCATGTATAGTACCGGTAGTCCTCGACTTACAGTCGTTTGTTTAGTGACCATTTAAAGTTACAACATCACTGAAGGAAGTGACTTATAGCCATTTTTCACGCTTACAGCTGTTGCAGCATCCCCACGGTCAGGTGATCAAAATTTGGATGCTTGCCATCTGGTGCAGATTCACTTAACAACCATGTTACTAACTTAACAACTGCAGTGATTCACTTAACTGTAACAAGAAAGGTCATAAAAGGGGGCAAAATTCACTTAACAAACGTCTCACTTAGCAGCATAAATTTTGGGCTTAATTGTGGTCGTAGGTCAAGGACTACCTGTATACATGAGAGCCAATTTGATCTAGTGGTTAAGGCGCCAAGCAGGAGCCCGTGAATTCAAGTACCTGCCTTAGCCATGAAAGGCAGCTGTTTGACTTTGGGCCAGTCACACACTCTCAGCATAACTCACCTCACAGAGTAAATTGTTGTGGCAAAATGAGGAGGAAAGTGTATTTTTAATATGTTCGCCGCTTTGAGTTCTTTGTTAAAATAAGAAAGATGGGATAGAGGTAAGCAAATACACAAGATCTGCTTAACAATGTGTAAATAATAAATGAAACTATAATTTTAAAAAAACAATGTCAAACTTGGGAATCTGTGTTCTCCATAAAATTATTGCTTTGAAATTAAATTCATGCCGGCATTCTGACTTTGCCCCTTTCTTGGTACAAGGTTTCTGTAGCCTAGTAACCCCAGGTTCAGTCCTAAATATCTTCAGACAGAACTGGGAATTTTTTCCTTCTAAAATCCTTGAGAGCATCTGCCAGCTGACCACGAATGATTTGATTTGACTTTTTATATGAAAATTTCACATAGCGAATGGAAAAGGATAGTTTTAAAATGAAATTTTCTTTTGCTCGGTCTTCCGGATGTACATTGCATGCCCTGTACATTGAACAGTTACATTACAATTTCTCATAAGGTGAAGTCAGGCTTCCATCATACTGTAGGTAGGGTGCACAAATATGACTGTGAAGAATTTGTCAAAACACAGGAACAGATATTTGTGGATTGTGTGCAAATTAAGAAGGAGTAAGGGTTAGGCATGGGAGCTTCAATTGGTTCTGCAGGATACAGATTCCAATCCCAAAGTTATTTTATATGTTCCTTTTTCTAAAGGAGTGAGTATGAAAGAGCATAGTAATTGAGAGAATAATCTGTAATTATCTAGTAAAAGTATGTTTCTCTGCTTCATTGTTCCAGATCATTATTCTGCTGCAACTGAGGATCAGTCTGCAGATCCCTTTCTAATAACAATAGAAGAGTCAACTCTATTTGAGGCCGCCTATCCTGAAGTGGTTGCTTTGTATCAAATGGAGAAGTTGAAAATTGGCAGGGAAAAAAAGAAAAGTAAGCTGAAAACATCGCATGTTTTGTTTTACTGTGTTTTCTATCTTAAATAGTCATTGTATGCTCGTCAAATTGCCAGTTGTTCTATAGAATTTTCTGCACCCTAATAAGATTTAAATGAAACCATTTGACTTACAATTGCCTGATTACAAAACCAAAACCACGCTGCTTCCTTAACTTCATCTCCAATTTTGAAAAATTGTTTTTAACAAGATGTTCCTAATTTTTATTTATTTATTTATTTTGCTGCTTTAGGTAAGAAAAAAACTAAAGAGAAAGAATGCTTAGCAGGGGACAGCAAAGTAGAAGATACTTTTTCTGACCTGACCTGGCAACCTGCGCGTGAAAATATTCTCAGCCAAGGTTCAACATCTGATTTGGGGCTTGTTTTTGATATGCAAAAATTTCCAAAAAAGAGCTGTTTTTTATCAGGCTCTGCAGATTTTTCTACTGCATTAGGAAAGCCAAGCAACTTCTTTTTTGCTTCACAAAATACAGAAAATGAATATAAACCTTCTAATTCTTTAATCTCACCAACAGAATTTTTTCTGAAGGAGCCTATGGCTCCTTCCGCAAATATTGATCTGCAGCTGAGTGGCATTGACTGGGAAGGGACATCCTTCAGCATTTCTCCAAGGAATGTTAATCTTCCTTGGTATTCAGAATCTGAGTCTGGCCTGGGCAATAATTCTTTAAAGCTGTGCTGTCCACCATACAGTAAAGCAGCCAATATCCTCACGCAGCATTCAGATTCTGCACAACATGATCCCAGTCTGGTCACCGGTCTAGATTACTCTGTTTCAAATACAGACTTTCCTAAAGAGAAGAATGATTTGTCTTTAAAAGATAGAGCCACTATGGAAAGTTTAGAAGCTTTCCCCAAAGCTAAAAATGTGCCTTTGTTAAATGCCATACAACTGCAAGAACAAATAAAGAGAACTTCCAAACCTGGAGAAGAATTTTCGTCTCCTCCTAGCAGCATTCAGGAAATTGAAAATGTGATGTTACTAGAAAAACACCTGCAGGGGCTAAGCTTGGAGAACTATAAAGAAGCTCTCCAAAGTTCTGAGAACCCACGAACTGCAGCAGGTAAAGTCCTGGATTCAGGAAGTTCTTTGAGGTTGTGCACTGAAACGCTAAAAGTGAGTTGCTTAGAAAACAAACAGCCAATTTTGCCATCTAGGTCAAATAAAGTCCTAGATAACTGTCAGGTTGGGAAAAAACCTGTGCCAAGAATCATGAAAAGCTCCCTTAAGAAGAGTGTGTGCCAAAATAGTTATCATGCTGAGGACAGCGATAGTGAAAATGTGGAAGGCAGGTGGAAGGGTCACAGGATCCCAAAACAGCAAAGAAAGAGTCATATGGTTCAGCGGAAGGACAAGTGCAATGGCAAAAGGGACAACAAGAAATTGGCATTTGAAATTCAGCCAGAAGCAGACGGGAAAGATGAGCAGGCCCTTAAATTACTCAACACTGATTTATCAACAGAAGAACGTCTGCCGCTCTCCAAATGTGGATTCGATCCTTGTCTTCAGGAGACCAGAAGCGATTTGGACATGTGGCTTGAGAGTCCGCTGCCTCTGTCTGAAAGGCTAAAGCACAGATTGAAGAGCAGTTGAGAACTTCCTGCTCCCATCTCCCTGATGTCTTCATCTGCAAACATCTCAAATGTCTTGATACGTTTTAAATGTCCTCTAAGTTAATAAGTTCCATAATTGTGAGTGGTAGAAGATTGAAAGAGGGCTTGTGTCTGAAATGAAATGACTGGCAAATTAAGTTCTTCAAGCAACTTTTCTGTAGTGACTTGCTCTAATTTCGGCCTGCTGTGAGCTGGGCTGAAGTCTTCCTAAATAATTTGCTTGAGTGGTTGCATCAGTCATACCACAATAGCATGAACTCAAGAATAAATGCATAATAATGTTGGCTTTTTTGCAGAGTATAAAATATGGAACAACTTGCTAACTAATGGCAGTGGCAAAGCCGCTGACATTTTTACACATACAGATTGGTTAGTATATGTTTTTGTACAATTTTGCTACAGATTTTCAGGTCCAAATTAAATAGTACTCTAGGTCCAGTCTTGGAATCTATCTCTACATATGCAACAGAGTTTAAGTACCAGAATTACGAAATGGTAAAATGGGGTCAAAAATGTCAATTTAGAATTATGCTTGTAAGATACCTTTAGAATTAGAAATCTAACTTAGAGAGGACTGCTACAGCCTAATACTTCGTCTGCTCTTCGCTTTCTCTTTTGCCCAGATTTCTAACTTGGGATCACATGGTCTTAGAATCATAATGATTTTCATTTGTAACCATATGTAAGCTGGTTTTTAAATAGATTTTCATATAGCCTTTTTGAAAACATGCAGTACTTTTAAATAGTAGTAGTTTAAATGAATTAATTAGACACAAATGCTTTGCAACAATATTTATTTAATGAGTTAGTCCAATCAAGGGGAGTTTCTCTCTGTAAATAGTTGTATTTACAGTATTTGTAACATTAGTTACAAATTTAAATACAGTATTTAAATACATTTAAATACAGTATTTGTAACATTAGTGATTTTCCCTGATTCCGGGTACTATATTATTTTTAATCTTACTTAGATCAACTTTCTGTCTTTTGTAGATAAGCTCTGTTTTTACTGGTAAAATGCATGCTTTCCATGCCAAAAGTATCCAGTTCAAATTGTGGCCTTTTACTTCAGGCTGGAACGGCCCCCAATGGCCGTTCTAGAGACCTGTTGTTGGTCAAGAGACAGGACTTGAGCGAATAGACTTGGCACACAGTGCAATGCCTAATATTGATGGTGATCAGATCAAGGTGCAAATCATACCAATTTTCTAACATAACACAGAATTGGAAGAAATGCATCTCTTTGGCGACCGTTGATTCATGAAAAGGGTGAAAATGTTAATTCACAGGGTTGTGGCTTCTTGCAGTGGAATTGTCAATGCAAGTGACAGTCTAATCTACATATTTATTTTTCACAAGATATGAGCACATAAATTATTAAAAAGATGCAGAATCTGATTTCGCACGTTGTACTATGTCGTCATCTAATTTGTCTTGATTTAATGCAATCTATAAAGCCAGCCACTGTGGTTTGTAAAATATTATATTCAGCTTAGCCTGTGAGTGTAGCTCTTTGTCAGTCTGTTCTACAAATCATGGTTAAGACAAACCATGGCTAAATATGACAACCCTAACCAATTGCAAAATTCTTTGAGCCATTTTGAATTTCTACTCAGTTCATTGGATAAATGGTTGAAAATATTCTCACTGAATTCTTTTTTACTGAAAGCATGAGAGAGAAAGTACTCTCGTATAGCTGAATTATGTCCCAGGTTCACAAAGCTAATGCCAAATTCATAAGATTTTTCTAAAATAATGCAAGTGTATCCCTGCAATACGACATGGCATAACTCAAGAATCTACTTTCCTGCGGTATGAAACATTGGAAAAAATAGCTACGGTAGAGAAACCTTTTTCTATTTAGTTGTAACATGTGTTAGCCTGAAGTGGGAAGAAGGAGATAAAATCTGTTCCCTACTGCTTATCCTACAGGTTTGCAAATTACAGTGATACAACAATGCAGGAGTCAGTATATCCCCTTCTAAATGTTCATTTTTCTTCATAAAACATTTTTTGTCCAGATCTATTCTTGCCATACTATATAGAATTCTTCCTCTTAAAATTACAAATATTATATTCACTGTTGGAAATCAAGTGCTATTTGACACTCTTAGAAGGTGTAGTTCTTTAGATGGACTGTATCTAAGTCTTGGGATTTATTTTTTAAAGAAACAGGCTAGAAACTAGGAGATCAGGAGTTCTAGTTCTGCCTTAGGCCCAAAGCCACCTCTCTCAGTCCTAGGAAGGAGGAAAGGGCAAACCACTTCCACAAACGTTACCAAGAAAACTCCAGGAGCTTGTCCAGGCAGGCACAACACTGACATATAAGCATCACATTTTATTTTATTTTTTGCTTTGTTTTTCATAGCTTATCATATCGGCAAAAGATCCAATTTAATGTGATTAAAGTGTTTTTATTGCCAAAATTTTAGAACAGGGCCACAAGTGCCTTGGAAATACAACTCAGAAAACACATTGCATTTATGACCCTGTTTAGATAACAGAGTTAAAGTAGTGTTGATCTTATCATTTGAATCTCAGACAGGCCAACCTTCTAACAAGCAAATCACCAAGGTGTTCAAAAAGGTGTGACTTTTGTAGTCTAGAAACCTCTTTCGATGATGGGATTCTTGGAATTAGAAAATATATTTAGGATGCTGATAACATTTTGGAAGATCATTTTGGGATGAAGCCCCATAAAAATTGATGGATTTTAGTGTGTGCGAACATAAATATGACTTTAATTTTCATCAAAGCAATTAGACTAAGGCTGTGTAATATTGTTTCAAGTTCCAGTAATAATTTCATGAGGAATACAATACTTCCTTGCAAAAAAGAATCTTCTTTTTAAATTGGAAATATTAATATGAATAAAGCCCGTGTTATCCCAACCATTTCTATAGGCTAAATTTGTACAGCCAAATATTTATCAATATAGCAAGAGATAAATGTAGATTTCATAAATCTGTCAAGGTGTTTGTAGTGCACATTAGGCTGCAAAATATTTTCCAGTGGTTACTGCTATTGAAATTATTAAAATATATCTTAAAAAAAAAAAGAATTTGACACATATATTTTAACCTAAAGCTACATCAGTTGTCTTAAATATGCAAACAGTTGGCTCAACTTTGTATTTAAATATGTTACATCATCCATATTCCTTAGCAATTCATAGCTATATTTCGTACAATTAAATATATGCTAAATAACACATCCTTCTTTGTAACTGTATACATTATAAAAAATGCCGTGCACCTTTTTACCCAAAACAGAAAACTTTGCAGAAGAATTAATCTTAGAAAGCAGGAGTGCAAAATAACAAATATTTTATTAACATGCCAAGAAAACTTCTCAGTGAATTTCTTACCCCAGTTTAACTCAGTTTTGTTTGGATACAAATATAAACCTAGGGGGGGAAATATCAATTGTTAAATGCCTATGATTTTTTGTTTTGTTTTATTGTACAGGACCATGATTTTAAGCTGTAAATTTTGGTGCTCAACAACAAAGGAAATCTTGCATAAAACTAACAGATAATAGCCGCCTCCTCATTTAAACAGTGATAGAAATACAAAGTATTTGTTTCCTGAAGGGCAAAGTGCTAAATCTAGCACTGTGTTTTACTGTTCACCAGTAGCACTTAGTCTATAACAGATCTAGTAATATTGTTAACTGTGGTTTCCTTTCATCTGTTGATGCAAAATAGCAGGGTTTCACACTTCCTTAGACATGAAAAGATTTTTACCTTGACTTGTGACAGCTCCTCCATTAATCTTCCACTTTTTATTCCAACCGTGCTAATGCTAAAATTCTCAGAGATGGCTTCAAGATAAGTAGAAATTGGTCAGGGGAAGAAGAAAAAAAATCACAAGATTGTTTTTCTCTTTGCAAATTTGAACAACTTATTTTTTTTTAAAAAAAAGTGGATGATCATTTCTTCTAAAAGATATATACAGTAAATGTTTTGCTAGTTGCCTGTTCACTTATGAATAAAATGGTTTATCAGATGACTAAAAAAAAACTGCAGTTAGATTTCTTTTTATATCAGTGCAGCAATAAAAGACATAAACACATAAATTCCTTCCGTAGGAAGGAAACAAAGAATCAATTGCTCAAAAAGAGCAATTCTCAGATTTGTTTACTGTTTGTTGAGAACAAAAATGCCTGTTTCCAGGAATGGTTTTCTTCTCTATTCTAGAACTATAAACTATAAAAAGAATGGAAATGTATCAAAATCATGAGAAGTATGATGCAGGCAGTACTGCAGTGATGTGCTGGGATATGGGTAATAATGAAAGAACTAATTAATTTTGCATCTTATTTGTATATTGGTACATCAGTGTTAAAGTCAGTGATTCTTGTGTGAGTGCCAGCAAAACAGCAGAAAAACCTACCCAGCCAGGCAATGAAGGCTGGACTTTGAGGGACAAGGACGAAGCCCCCATAACCCCTAAATAATAATAATAATAATAATAATAATAGAAATAGAAAGACTGTGGCAAAAGCAAGCAAGGGTAGTACCAATAGTAATAGGCGCCTTGGGTGCAATCCCAAAACAACTGGAGTACCACTTGAACACCATTGGCATTGACAAATTCACCATTAGTCCATTGCAAAAGGCGGCCTTACTAAGAACTGCTTCCATCCTAGGATGATATCTGTAACACCATTAAACATCCACATCTGCCTATCCCAGGTCCTTGGTAAGGACTCGATAGGTAGACAAAAATGCCAAATCTGGCTGACTGTGTGATTATCAATAATAATAATAATAATAATAATAATAATAATAATAATAATAATAAAGTTGGAAGGGACCTTGGACATCATCTAGTCCAACCCCCTGCTCAGGCAGAAAACCCTATACTTCTAAATAAACTGGAAATATTTGATAAGGCTGATATTACTCAACAAAGGTGCTTTTCAAAAAGCAACTGGACTTCCTTGGGTTTTTTTCCTTGAAAACATTTGCTTCTTGGA